TGGTTGCTTCCTGAATGCACCCCCACTGGGGATCATACCTGAAACCTAGGTATGCGTCCTGACTGGGAATCGAACCCATGATCTTTCAGTGCACGGACGATGTTCCAAATATCTGAGCCACACCAGCCAGGGGCAGAGGAATTGGATTTTAGATTTTGACTAATAAGGTCAGTACCTTGTAGTAGACACGGCCTGGTGCTAAGTGCTGGCTTGGCCACTTATTAATTTTGTGAACTTGGGTAAATCCTTTGACCTCTCTGCCACAGTTTCCCCATCCCTCACAGGGTTGCTGCAAAAATTCAGTGAGTTAGCATACAAAACTGCTTAGACTGCCTGGCATGCAAGAAACACATAGCATTAGCATTTATTATATCAAAGTGATTTATTATATCACTTTATTATTTTATCAAATTATTTTTGTTAAAGTAACATATAGTCCTGTGGGAGACTTTTGCATGGCATCCATTCTGTTGCAGTCTGCTCTGCTGTCTCTGGCCCCAGGCGGGGTCTCTCTGAATACAGTGTCTGCATTCCTCTAGATAATTGTTTACTCCATTCTTTGCTTATCATTTGTTCCACCTGGGGAATTTGCTGGAATTTGCTTCAGGTGGGATACTCATTAACTGTTTCACCTGTTTTTCCCCTATATATTATGTGAACTCCCCCTGAATAAACGAGACTTGATCAGAACCCTGTCTTGTCTCCATTTCTCGTGTCTCTTGTCCCTCCTCATCCTCACTCCCCCTCTAGAGTCCTTGTTGCTCGACCTGCGGGACGGGTCATAGTCCCACCATAGTGTCTTATTTCTCTGACCTTTGCCAACATTGCTTATTTTTCAACATTTTGAACTTTGTCAATCTGATTGGTGAAAAGGGTATCTTATTGTGATTTTAGTTTTCATATAATAAATTCAATTACTGAATTCAGTGACCTCTGATTCCTACAGAATCTCCTTGCAGCATTTGACATTTGAAGCCTAGATCTATTAAGTTGTCCCCTCCCCCTTGGCATGTCTTCCCTATTGTCTCCTGGAATAGCACTGTACTCTTTTTGTTCATCTCTGAACTCTCTGGTCTTCCTTCCTGCCCTGCCTCTCAAGACCTTCTCAACATGGCTTCACCTACTTTTCTGACCTTATTTCCTATCCTTTCTTCTGACGTTATTTTCTTCTAAATACATCCACTACATGCTCTCTGAATCTGTGTATATGCTTTCCTGCCTCTCTGTCTTTGCTCGTGTTCTAACTGAAATTCCATCACTTCTAGAATTGATAGATAAAATAAAGAATGGTCATTAAATCTGAATTTTATTTTATTATTATTTTTGTTTGTACATGCCCCTAGCGGGAACCAAACCCGGGACTCTCTGGTCCGCAGGCCGACGCTCCAACCGCTTAGCCAAACAGCCAGGGCAAATCTGAATTTTAGATACAACTAATCATTCTTAGTGTTTTTATCTGAAATTAAAATTTAGCCCTGCCTGGTTTGGCTCAGCGGTTAGAGCGTTTGCCCGCAGACCAAAGAGTCACAGGTTCAATTCTGGTTAAGGGCACATACCTCGGTTGCGGGCACATTCCTGGACCTGGTCGAGGTCCTGCAGGAGGCAACCAGTCGATGTGTCCCCTCTCTTCTGCTCTCTCCCTCCCTCCGACTCTATCTGAAGATAAATAAAAAAATATCCTCAGGTGAGGATTAAAAATAAATAAATAAATAAATAAATAAATAAATAAATAAATAATAAATAAATAAATAATTTAACTGGACATTCTTATTTGCTAAATCTAGCAACCCTCCCTCCAATACGTTGTGCCCCTAAAGCAGTTAATACCTTCTGTTTTAAATCACGGTTATTTGTGTTCATACAAGAATGAAAGCTTTGACCAGGCAAGGGCTGGGTCTTTCCTTTCTTTGTCTTATTTATATGGCTGTGCATGCAATAGTTTCTCAGGAGATATTTGCTGAATTCAGTGATATAAATTTTCCCTTATATGGTTACAAGGAAATTCCTCCTCATTCCCTAGCTCATTCCCACCTCCAGGAGTTAGTGATTTTGAGTAACTACCTAATCTAATCCCTCTTAAATGATCTGTAATTTCATGTGAACGTATTTATACCAGCTCAAATAGATTAACTGAAACATAAAGAAGCAGTTTAGCATAGTGGCTAATCTCTTAAAGATTTGTCTTGGCTCTCCCATTGACTAGCTGTACAATATTAGTCCCATTATTTCACCTCTTCAAGCCTCTGTTTTTTCCATCTATAACATAATAACAAGTGCTTTACTAAAGGAACCTATGATTAAATCAGATGAACAATGTCAAGTACTTAGTATATATTATGGACTCAATATATGTTAGCTATTGTATCTGTGACAGCCTCTACAAAGGCAAATATATTGGGGGCTGTGAGAATTTATACAAGGAGTCCTGAGCTAGTTCAGAGAGAGCTTTCTTGAGAAATTATACCTGATATTTGTTGAGTACTCACCATATACCAGTGTACTAGATTGCTAGGAATGCCATAATAAAGCACCACAGACAGAGTAGTTTAAATAACAGAAATTTAGCTTGGCCAGTGTGGCTCATTGGCTGAGCCTTGACCCATGCACCAAGAGGTCACCGGTTCGATTCCCTTCGATCAGTTTGTGGGCCTGATTCCCAATGGGGGGTATGCAGCCAATTGATGTTCTTTCACACCGATGTTTTTATCTCTCTCTCCCTCCCTCTCTAAAATCAATAAATAAAAAATATTTTAAAAATAATAACAGAAATTTATTTTCTCACAACTGGAGACCAGAAGTAGGAGATTGAGGTGTTGGCAGGGTTAGCTTTTTCTAAGGCCTTTCTCCTTGGTTTATAGGTAGCCATCTTCTGTGTCTTCACATGGTCTTTCCTTTGTACCTGTCTGTGTCCATATGTCCTCTTCTTATAAGGATACCCTAATTGAATTAGGATTCACTCTAATAACCTAATTTTAATTTAACCTATCTCCAAATATGGTCACACTCTGAGGTCCTGGGAGTTAGGACTTCAACATATGAATTTTGAGGGCACACAACTCAGCCCCTAACAGTTAAGTACTAATGTATCGTCCTTACATGTATTATTTTACATCAACTCTATAATTGCTATTTTAATCTTATAAATTGAGATGCAGAGAGAAGTTGAGCACCTGACTAGTTACACAATACCTAGGAACCAATAGAACTCAAGTTTGAACCTAGATAACTACTCACCAAAGGTTTATGAAATGTTGAAGGATGAGTCAGAGCTGGCCCAGCAAAGATTAGAGGTAGCATATAGAAAGGCAGTAGAGGGGAGTATACTGAAAGGCACTAGAGTGGAAGAGTTTGGCACATGTGAGGGGATGAAAGAGTCAAGGTGATGATGTAAAAGTGGGCCAGGGAAAACCACAGCAGTCCTTACAAGCCATGGTTAGGATTAAGATTTTGGTCTTTATCCTAAGAACAATGGGAAACCATTGAAGGATGACTCTACCCACTGAATAGCAAACCACTTGAAGGAAACACAAAAATCTTAGGTTTAACTTTTTGCAGATGAGGAACCTGAGATCTGCTCCTTTTTTTCAATGTATTGCACCCAGCTTCCATATAACTCAATTGCGAGGGTAAAATATGTGTAGAGTTGGCCTCCTGCAAGTGTGAACTACTTAAAACAGGTGGGTATGTATCTGAATGGAATGTATGATGTAGAGGGAATAGGAAAGTTGAGAATTCCAGTTGTGCCGTCAAACAAACATAATCTTGGTCTGTGGTTTCAGCAGCCTTAAATGTAGAGATGCAGTGAGGGCCACAACTCCGCATTAAACTTCAGTTGGAAGAGTAAGACCAAGTAGCTTTGCTTAATATTTTTTAACAGCTTTATTTAGATATAATTTACATACCACAAAACTCATCTAAGTGTACAATAATTTATTTTATTTTATTTTTTTTTGGTACGTGCCCCTAGCGGGAACCGAACCCGGAACTCTCTGGTCTGCAGGCCAATGCTCCAACCGCTAAGCCAAACCGGCCAGGGAAATGTACAGTAATTTTTAGTAAAATCACAGCACAGCCATCAGCCGCAATCCAGTTGTGGATTATTTCCATCCCGCTGAAAAGATCCCTACGTCTGTTTACAATTAGTCCTGGCCTATTCCCACCCCCAGACCCAAATCAGCCTAATGAGTGTATTTTACTTAGTTGAGACGACCTTACAGACTCCAGATAACTCTTAAAAGGAACCCAGGACTGGACTCCCAATGAATATGAATATGGGGTATATGTATGTGTTATCAGTGTGCCAACTATGTACAGGCTCGGTCTGTACGTGAGGAATTCCTTCTTCCATCCACTAAGCAAACAACAGTTGGTTGTCCTACGTGGAATTTATTATCTAAATGGAACGAAAGCGGTAAGCGGGTGTCTCTAAACATGGAACACGTGCATCCGTGTAGGTGAGCACACACCTAGTGCCAGGACAGGAGTAACGTGTATCCAAGGCAGGACCAGTCGGGGTCGTGCGCGCCTGCGCAGCTTCGCGAGCGCCTAGAAACTAGTAACTGAAACCCGCTGCTCGAGACCTGCCGGTTCTGCTGTTGAGGCACCGCCGTCTCAGACCTGAGCGTCCACCCGTGATACACGAGCCCAGGCCTGGTAGGTAACCCCCACCCTCTCGCTTTCCCTACCTAGGCTCGCAATGAGAACCAAGTTTATCAGGCTACGCACCAGGGCCGCTAGGGAAGAGGCCCTCTACCGTAGCCACACCCCATAGTTTACTAAGCGGCGTCTCCTTGGTCAACGAACGACTTAGTCCCGCCCCTTTGAATAACGTCATCAGCCACGTACCACGTTTCTACGTGTCTCGAGCCTAAAAGCGGAAGTTACGCCAGGGATTCGCGAGCCGAGCGATGGACCTGAAAGGATATAGGCGGCTTAAAGAAAGGGGGCGGGCAGACGGCATTGGAAGGCGCCGGAAGTGGTCGTGCTGAGGAGGGGTGGGAAAGGGGCTGGCCGGCCAGTTTACTTGGCTGCAGCTGGCCGCCTGGATAGGGCGCTCTTTCGGGCCTCCCCGAGAGCCTGGCGCATTCTATCCGGTTCGGTCAACATGGATTTCAGGGAAATTCTCTTGATAGCTTCCAAAGGGCAAGGAGTAAACAACGTACCGGTAAGTAGCCGCTGGGACGCCCCTGTGAGAGATCCTAATCTTCAAGTTCGGAATGTGTATCGGTTGGGTAGAACTTCGAGGCATCCGCCTCTCGGCTCCGAGAGAGGAAAGACCTGAACACCTTTCCTTACTTCAATTGGGGATGTACTTCTGGGAAGTTGGGGTGAAAAGGGACTCGAGATGAAGCGGGAGCCTTCCAGGGAGTGGGTTTTGCTAGCTCATTTACCCCTGCAACAAGGACTTTGCGGTGTGGGTGTTTGAGAGTTGCATGAAAGCTGATGAGTGGAGTCTACCTGGTACACATTGGAATCTAGCGCTAGTATTTTCTGGCTTCGGTATAAACTTCTGCCCAAAGGTGGAGAGGGAGTATGTATATATATTGGGTGTTCGGGGGTTGTAGAGACTTGGCCTGATAGAGCCTTTTGGCTGACTTCCCGCTGATTTTCAGGTCTGGAACAGTTAGTTATTTCCCAAACAAGGGCTCCTGATTTGTGGCCCCACCCACTTAACAAACGAAGTAATTAAATTGTTTTCCAAGGGTTACTTTTTGTATTGGGAAGAGAAATTGAGCGGATTCCACGAAATCCTTGGCGAACAGCATGGGTGAGCTAGTTTTAGCTTCCGTTTACTTGTGGCCTTCCAGACTTGTCTTTGTTTGAAATCTAGGTCTCATTTGCTCAGTAATGTTTGCCAGTTCGCTGACATTCTCAGAGGTGGTGTAAGACTTAAAATCGAAACGCGAAATGGTAGAGTGCGCCTGGTTTGAGGGGTTGTAGCTGTTTTGCATAAACTAATCATTTCTGAATTCTCAGATGGTAACCACAGGACAGCTGTAAACCGATAAATTGCATTGTGATACCTGTGGTTTGAGCACTGGGGTGTAGAACTCAAACAGCTCTCTGTTAAAGTCAATTCAACTGGAATTTTTTGCGCTCTTACTTGCATTTCTTAGAATTTTGTATATTACAATGTTATTATTTTTTTATTCTCCTGTACTTTTATCTTCTGAAGCTGGCCCACCCTTTTGAAAGCATTGATCTGAAGATAGTAAAATAACTGATAAATAAAACTGATATACATCCGTTTTTTTAACTGTCTAGCCATCTCTGTTCCAGATCCTCTTATTAATCATTCCTTTAAACCATGAGTCATAAGATATGCAGATTGACGTTCTGGGCTTAAACCTTTGAAACCTTGAACAACAGAATTATTTCCTACATCTGTAAATTTTCTAGACAAGTCAGTATTGAATTTAGTAATCCTGGACCTTTGCATTAGGTCCATATTTAATTCTAGATCTTCTTGAAATTCATTGGAGGTAAAATAAATAAATAAGTGGTAATACTAGCTTTGATGCCCAGGGGTATTCTGTAGAAGAATTAAAGGTCATTTTTTAAAAAAAAAAAAATTATTTGTTGTTCCACTTATTTAAGCATTCATGGGTTAATTCTTGTATGTGCCCTGACCAGGGATCAAACCCACAACCTTGGTGTATCAGGACGACACTCTAACCAACTGAGCTATCGAGCCAGGGCTCTTTTTTTCTTTTTGAAATTTTTTTATTGATTTTGAGAGAGAGAGAGAGAGAGAGAGAGAAAGGGAGAGAAAAGAAAAACATTGATTTGTTGTTCCACTTATTTATGCATTCATTGATTGCTTCTTGTATGTGCCCTAACCAGGGATAGAGAATATCAGGACAACACCCAACCAACTGAGCTACCCAGCCAGGGCCAAGAGTTAATCATTTCTTATTCTAAAAACCAACAGCTGTTGGGAGAAAAGCAGATATTCCAGGCACAGAAGCAGATTTCAGAATATGTGTACATTTCAGAATATATGCATTATCTATTGATCTGTCTGTGATTGACATAATAAAGATTGGAAGCAGAAAGGAAAACAGGTAAACTGGTGAGGTCATTTAAAATTTAATAGATGAAGCCCGGCCAGTGTGGCACAGTGGATTGAGGAATGTCCCATGGACTGAGAGGTCCCAGTTGGATTCCCAGTAAAGGCTTGATCCCCGGGGCACACAAGAGACAGCCGATTGATGTTTCTCTCTCACATCAATGTTTCTGTCTCTCCCTTCCTCCCTCTCTCAAAAAAAAAAAAAAAAATCAATAACGTATTTTTAAAATTTTTAACATATGAATATAGGTATATATGTTATGAAAGCATGCTTTTCTCTGCCCATCCCCCCAAAAGCTAGTAAGCCTAGAAGTTGATATATTTAGCAGCATTATTATCCTTATCTTTACATCACATGAAAGTACATCACAAAAGAAACTGTTGAAGAATAGAGCAAGACTTTAGTTAAATGTAATCCGTGATCTTGCTTCAACTTGATTCACCTAATAATTCTAAGTTACATTCGTCTTTAGCTTGAAGTCAAGCCTTTTAGAGAACACCATCAGTGCAAATGATGTATACATAATAAGGCTCAGGAAGAATGTTTTTCTCTGCAGGATTTTTTTTTTTTTTTTACCCTCATTCGACATTTTTCCTTTTTTTGTTCAGATAGAGTGGGAGGGAGAGAGGAAAACATCAGCGTGAAAGGGACACATTGAGTGGTTGCCACTGGCACGACCCAACCAGGGCCGGGGACAAACTGCAACCGAGGTATGTGCCCTTAGCGGTAACCGAACCCAGGTCTCTGGACTGCAGGCCAACGCTCTAAACCAGCCAGGGCTGCAGGATTCTTTATTATTATTTTTATTTATCTATTGTTGACACTATTACAGGTGTCCCCCATTCCCCCTCCTCTTTACCTACCTCCACCCAGCCCCCGCCCCCTCTCCCTCTGGCCATCACCACACTGTTGTGTCCATTGGCTTTGCATATATGTTCTTTGGCTAATCTCTTCACCTTCTTTCATCCAGTACCCCCACCTCCCTCTCCTCTGACCTCTGTTAGTCTGTCCGGTGTATCCATGCCTCTGGTTCTATTTTGTTCATCAGTTTATTTTGTTCATTAGATTCCATGTATAAGTGAGATCACATGGTATTTGTCTTTCTCTGACTGGCCTATTTCGCTTAGCATAATAATCTCCAGGATTCTTTTTCCTTTTATTGATTAAAAAAAATTTTTTTTTCATAATTGATTTTAGAGAGAGGGGGGAAGGGAAAGGAAGAGAGAGAGAGAAATATTGATGAGAGAGAACATCTATTGGCTACCTCCTGCATGTCCCCCACTGGGGATTTGGCCCACAACCTGGGCATGTGCTCTGACCGGGAATCAAACCAGCAACCTCTTGGTGCATGGGTCAACGCTCAACCACTGAGCCACACAGGCCAGGCTCTTACTCCATTTAAGTCAACTGGAGAAAGAAGCCCATTTTTACAAAATATATATTTTAAAAATTTTGGACACTTGTAAAACATATAGAATGTTAACATATACCTATATGACCACACCCCATATTTAACATATATTAATATTTTGCCATATTCATGTATTTTAAAATAAAGCCTAATTGATATGTCTAAAGAGTCTACCAAGCTGATTCCTTTTTAAAATTATAACATATGGTGCAGTGTAATACAGATTCTTATAAAACAAATATCCTTGTAAACCACCATCCAAATCAAGAAACATTTCAAGCCACATGCACACACCTTGCTTGACATAAGCTTGGTTGATTGATTGATGTTCTGAGAACCACAGATAGCACCCTCCCTCTCTAGTGTATAGTTCATTTTTCTTTTTAGCCATCTTCTTCCCCACCTTCCATTTGTATCCTATCAGACCTGATGTTCATATTTAGTCTTCATAGTTCCTGTGTCAGCCCTTGGCTACAGAAAGACACCACTAGCGTTGATTAGAGGAAAATCCAAGGAGAATCTAAAACACCTGTACAGCCACTTACAACTCTTTGCAGGTTTTTTTTTTCTTTATTGATTTTAGAGAGAAAGGAAGGGAGGAGGGGAGACATCGATGAGACAGAACATTGATTATCTACCTCCTACATGCCCCCCACTGTGGATTTGGCCCACAGCCTGGGCATGTGCTCTGAATGGGAATCGAACCAGCGACTTCTTGGTGCATGGGTCGACGCTCAACCACTGAGCCACACCGGCCAGGCTGCAGGGTTTTATTTTTAAGAGGTGTCTATTGTATCTGGCTTGAGAAGCAATAAACATTTCCCTAATGGGACAGCTTTCTTTTTTCTGTTGTTTCTTTTTAAAAGAATTAGTTATTTTTATAATGTTTTAATTAAAACAAAGAAAGGATTGCATCATGCCTAGAAATATTTGGCACACTATTTCCCAGTGGAAAACTGAGTGCGGAATAACAGCTGATCAAGGTGATGTAACCAGTCATTGTCATTAGCTCTGTTTATATTTAAACAAGAAAAGATATTTTCGGTAAGCTTGCACTTAAGATTTTTCTCCCTGCCTACCTCTACCAAAAACAAAGCATTTGTCTTGATTTGATAGAATAGTATAGCTTAGCAATTGGATTCTTCTAGGTTTCAAGTAGCTCTAATGAATGGCTTGTAGTGCATGAGACAGTTTACATGGTCTTTCTTACAGTGAGAGTGTGAAAATTATCCCAGACAAGATACTGTAGCTCTGATGTTACCCTCAGACCAAAAAGTAAAGGGTACCAGATATATAAGGATTTGGAGGACTACGATTGCTTAAGGAGAAAAATTATGTACTGAAAATGGATCCCAAGAACTGTAACTGGGGTGGCAGAGACTGTACATTCTTGAAGTAGTCTGGATATAAAATGATAGGTGCTGAAGCTTCACTTATTCCAAAGAAGCCTACCATTTATTACAGTAGTTATATTTTCTTTTAAACAACAGTATGAGCCAACAAAAAAGTTTCTATAAGGCAGTCACTTTGTAACCCTTGATCTGTAATCAGTTATAACTGGATTGCTCCCTACTCTTGGATCTGAAGATGACTTTTCCAGTGCCTGGTGCAGCTGTGGATTTCTAGCCTAACATAGTATCTCTCACCCAGTATTTTAGGGAAAGGGTCTTTTTTTTTTTTTTT